TGGGCAGCTTGGAAATCCTCCTGCTGCTGGTCGAGGTCATTCGAGACCTCCCGGGGCTCAACAATGGCACCCTCCTCTTCCTCTTCTTCCTCCTTCTCCTCCTCTTCATCCGAGGAGCCGAAGAGACTCTGATAGGAGCGTCGAGTCTCCTTCTCCTCGCGGAGTGGAGACTTAGAGGCGGTACGCTTCTTTGAGGGCTTGGCGCCTTCGGCTTTAGAGGCCTTAGCGCGCGCAAGACCCTCGGCAAGCGAGAGACGTTTGCGAGGACTCCCTTCCTCATCGCCACCGGCTTTGGGAGTGCCCTTAGCCTTAACGGCCGGACTCTCAGAGCGCACAGAGGTCCTGGGACTGTGATCACCGTGATCACTAGCGGACGACTGCACGCTGTCTTCTTTGTGCTCACTGGGCACTGGGCTGTGCCCTCCCACAGAGCCCGCAGGAGCATCATGAGTGCTCTCGAACTCGGCATCGTCCTCACTGCCCGAGTTGAACTCATGTTCTACGAACCGAGGGTTCGGACGATTGTCTGAAGACGAGGGCGACGGACTGCGGCGCCTGCTTGCGCGCTTGTCCGCAGCCGCGTCACCCGAGGATCCGATCGCCTCGGAGGCCACCTGAGTAGCCTCCTTGAGTGCAGAGCCTTTGCCGTGAGGCTTAGTGCTCTTGGCCTGCGCCTTACCGGCTGCAGCCTTGGAGCGTGTCTTAGCACCGCTCTTAGCAGTGCCACGAGGCATGTTAACGGTCGAAGTGGAGACCTTGACGAAGAGCGCACAGGTTGCTGCTCGAGGCTCTAACTGTAAAGTGAGCCTCCGCCGCGCTCGCGCGGCCGAGTCGATGGTTTTCGACTTTGAGAATGAGAGTTTGTGACGAACATCTCTTCATTCTGATTGGTCGGTAAACCGAACCTAAGTGGGGGAGGATGTAACGGGGTACGTAGCACTAAGTGTACCCTGGTTACATGAAGTGTGACACTTCACACTTCAGGAGTATGACATGTCATACTCCGGGATATTTGGTACAAGGTACCAAGGTCATTCAAAACCAACCATTGGTTAAATGACATTGCATTTCTATAGGTAACTGATAGTTTGTATTAACCACAAACTTAACCTACCTATAAATATACTCAGTTTACAATCTACCTTATTTAGGTCACTTCGCTCTCTTTAATTAAAGAGGGGACCAGTGAACTGCCGTTCACTGAGAGTTTGTATACTCTCGGAAGATAACTTCCTCTAGCGCAAGGTGCTGTGTGACCCCGTCACAATCACAGACAGCTGCGGAGATGCTGGGAATCATGGAATGCCTCAAAGAGATAGGGCTGAAGCTACTGGAGCCATCAGTGCTTCATGTCGACAACCAAGCTACAAGAGCTCAGTTGGAGGGAGAGGATTCGTCCGGACGTGCCAAGCACATTTGACACGCGTCACAAGTTGGTGAAGGACTTCGTACAAAAGATCGTGCTACGAGTACAGTATTGTGAGTCCGTCAAGATGCGTGCAGATACCCTGACGAAGGTCCTCCCCGCGCCACGCCTCAAGGAACTGCGTGAGATGGTGATGTTGTCAGGATCATCGCCCGGGAAGGAGTGTCGGAGCTAACAGAAGATCTACATGAGACCAAGAGATGCTGAGAAGTCACGCACACGGATGAGATGGTGAAGATCACGTCATTCATGAGAAGGTGAGCGTCAGCAGAGAAGGTGAACAGGATGAGCAGTTAGGAAACCTCTCGAAGGAGAGAATGCATTTTACATAACAACTAAATTCAATCAGTCTTCAATCTACCACGCCGAGCACAAGCGCCTAACATAAGCTTAACTTCACGCAGCACAAAAGGTCGGTTAAAGCTCGCGCGTCACGTTAAAAATAGGTGGAGCTTCTTAATCTCTTAAACGATAGTAAGCTCGAGTCGCTCCTTGCTTGTTGGTTTAATCGCCATTTAAAAAACAGAACTTTTTTATAGCAATTATTGTTTTCGTTAAAAACAAAAAATGATTTGAAACGTTTTCACTGTTAAATTTAATTTACTTTACGTCAGGACTACCTCTTCGATATCGGAATCGTCGAAGCTCACTACGCTGTCATTTCGAACGTCTCGGGTGGTAGGTTCATGACTGAGAAAGTGTACAGCATCGTCGTTCTCCTTGGCAGCAGCATCGATAAGTTCCGCGAGTCTCGTTGATACCTCAGCGGATTCACTCTCGTCTAACGTCACAATACTCGTGTCAAATGACATGTTGGACGACATCGCCATTGAATGTACATGGTCGCTCCTTGATGCAGGGTCGATAGCCACAGCTCCAAAGTCCGACCATCGCTGTGACTGTAAAGAGTCGGCAGACAGGGGCACAACGGTGGATGCAAAGTGGTCGACTCTTGCATCTGACGACTGAGATTGAGTTAAACTACTTGCGTCGGCCTGCCCTAAGTGTGAAGAAGAGCGTTGTGAGCTTACTTCTTGCACTTTCTGCTCTTCATACTGCCATTGTGCTGGACGGTTCTTCTCGTCTAATTCACGTGGCGACACAGCTCGTTGAAGCCTAAGTGATGAAGTGCTTTCCTCCCCTCCATAGCTTCTAGCACCCCAGCGTGACTCTGTATCACTCGACGTAATGTGGTCTGTTGATGTCTCGAGTTCGATGCCCGAAATTTCTGTAAGCTCCGGAGTGAACGCATTGACGACCGCTACCTGAGACTCGACCGGTGAAGGTGAAGAGCTACTTCGACTCAGTTGCACTCCTCTAGAATCATTCGAATCGTCAACTCTCGTCCCTGTTTCCTCCAGTGCATTTAATAAATCGTTATCATGTCGAAGATTTTCCACGTCAAGAGTATTTCCTACGTCGGATGGGCTCACCGAATTCCCCCCTGGCGGCGTTATTTTGCCCTCCTCAAACCCACCAGCACTGACAGCCATATTAAGCTGATAGTTTGCTGAATTTCTGCGAGTTTGTATCATTCCTGAGTCGGTTTTGACATCAGTATTTAAATTTTGAGCTGCGTCTTCAACCCCTTGTCTTTCAATCGACAGTTCTTCGTGCTTTGCAGCGTCGTCTGAGGCTACCAGCTCACTGCTCCCAGTACCACTAACTTGCTTTGCTTTCATCAAAGCCCCAAAAGTTGCCATCGCCTGCCGAACAAGCCCTTGATTGATCTCAGACTTCACCTGATTCTCCGCTTTAAACCGCTCCAACGCTTTCTGACGCGTCTTCTCCATTGGTACCCACTCCTTCTCGATCATCACATTCACCACTTGTTCACATTCTACCATCTTTGACAACACGTCTGTGGGTAGCCCTTCCAAATGGCCATGCAGAGCCTGCTGGATAATAGGCAAATTGTCCTCGGATAAGCGAATACTCTTCGGCGGAGCACCAAATCGACGCGAAAACTGCTCCAGTTGCTCGAGGCAACTGGCAACACGCTCTTTAACTGCATCTTCATCATGCTGAAAGCGACTACGAACGTATTTGTGTCGAGAGATCGAGCTGTAATTTCTCAAAACTGGAGCATTACTCGAAGCTGCATAAAGTGCGGCGCTAGTGAGATAATCCAAAACAATGGTTAGAACGTGAACCTTCGCTTAGCTTCGCTTACAACTGACATGGTTACCTTTGAGCACGTTCGTCAATAGTTTCAAGAAGAGCTTGAATGTTGGACTGTTGAATATCATCGGGCACGCGATCATCCGCATTCTGCGTAGCTGATTCAAGCAATTCTACCTTTTCATCGGCAACGCTACCGTCAGGACTTGGCGACTCATCTGAAATCAGTTCGGGGACGGCGGAGCTAGATACTGGTTCATGATCTAGAGCTAGGTCTTCCATTATGCTCACCTGCGCTTCGGCATCTACGAAAAGTTTCGATTCGTGCAAGAGCTCGAGCGTTTGACTACCCACCTCTTCGTAGCTTACGACCAATGGATCTGTCCCCATGTCCACACCAACTGGAGCACTTGACTCAGTTAACTCGACGTTTTCAACAGATAAATGACTGCTTGGCTCGTCCGTCTGCACAATCTCATTAACGGTACCAGGCTGTTCCGTTTGAGAGCTATTATCTTGCTGCACAACAGGTGAAGGCTCACGTGTCAACGCCAACTTATCCGCTAGCTCTTTCTTCTTTCTTAAGGCGGACAAATGTAAGGCTTGGACCTGCGCCAGCTCTTCTCTTGCCACTGCCAGCTCGGCATTCACAGCTTCAAGTGTTTGCTGTAACTCTCTGATCTCCATCTCCGCCGCGAGTAATGTATCGTCATTACTACGCGGTAAGTTCGTAAGCATAACAGCTTTAGTAGAAGCCCCCATCATCTGCTTCTTCGCTGTGAGGAACTCGGTCTGCTGCTGTAAATCCGCCAGCTCATCCTCCGCTTTCTGTTTCTGCAAGCAAACTTCATGAAGCTGTCGCTGGGATTCTTGTAGCTGCTCAGTTTGCAGTCGACTAAGTCGCTTTTCCTCCGCTACTTTCGTTTCGGCATGTAAGTTTTCATACATTTGCTTAGCTTTCTGTGTCTCCTCTTGAGCAAGCAACCGTAGTTTCTCTTCATGCTCGTGTAGCGCTTTCTCCATTTGTTGCACCATCTTCTGCATCGCGGCTTCGGGGGATGGATACGTGTCATCATTTTTCACTGTTTTTTCCTTCTCTTCCACGTCGAAACGTGGACTCGCTTTGTGCTTCACGGGCGTCTCCACTTCTATACGTTCGTTTCTATGTCTTCTCACCAGATGCTTCTCCAAATACACAGTCGACGAGAACATTTTCCCGCAGAATCCACACACACGAGCTTCCTGCACTGCAGGGCTCGCATTCTCTAAATCTTCATCATTATTCTCCATCAAAGCTCGTCTCTTTTGCTTCGCTCGTCTCTCCGATATCAGCTCCGTTAACAGCGTCTCAATCGTCGCCACTGCCGATGGAGAAGCTCTAAACGACACAGCAATAACGACACAGCAATAAACCAATAGAACATAAACAGCGCTCAAATGTTTAAAGAAACTGCTAAAGAAAAACATACCCGTGAATCTGCAACAGTTTCGCGATATTTTGCAGCACTTGATGCAGCTTTTCCACCTGCTTGTCACCAACCCGAGCCTTGGATTTCCACTTCTGCGTGCTCACCACCAGCTCGTCTCGCTCTTGTTCCACCTGCCGCAGCTCTTGACTCAGCGATTCCAGCACGTCGCCATCTCTCGCTCGCATATAGAGCAGATATTCCATCGCCAGCTGCAGGACGCGCACGAGGAACCAGGCGTCGCGCGTCGTCGGGTCTTTCAACGTATTGGGCAGTCGCGCGAACGTTATATGAAGTGCGTACGGCTCCAGAACAGCCGGATCCCCTCGACGCACCACATCGGACACATCCAAAGCTCCTAGAAGCCGCCAGTTAAGCTTCTCGCTCCGCTCTCGCCAGCAGAACCTTCGCATACTCGCGAGCCAGTTAAAGAATAAGGCAATATATCTGATATCCTCATTCGGGGGTAGGTAAAGTTGATGTACCCATTTCGATTTTAATGCTTATATTCGGTATATTGATTTAAGACTACATGCATTACCCAATCATAATTTCTGGTTGTATTGGCTGGTGCCAAGTTCATCATTCCAGAGCTCTTCGCACGTGCATCATGGCTGCGCTAGCGGCTTCCTCGCTCAATGGCGTCAAGATCTACAACTTGTCGTCCGGCAAGACACTGCCTCAATGGCTAGCCGAGAAAGGTGGCAGTCGCAAGGCACTGGCCAAGGACGAGGACTACCGCCGTCGTGTAGAGTTGTTGCAGGACTTCCACTTCCCTGCTGGCTCCCAGCGCGTGCGCATGTCATCGGACGGCAATTACGTGGTAGCCACGGGGATGTACGCTCCATCGGTTAAGGTTTTCGACGTGCGTGACCTGAGTCTCAAGTTTGAGCGCGGGTTGGACGCTGAAGTGGTGCAACTGGAGGTTCTATCCGCCGACTTTGGCAAGCTCGCATTCCTGCAGGCAGACCGCTCCGTGGCTTTCCACGCACCATACGGCACGCACTACAATATGCGTATCCCTAAGTTCGGTCGTGACATGACGTATCACCGAAAAAACTGCGAGCTGTACGTCGCAGCATCAGGTTCCGACGTGTATCGTATTAACCTGGACCAAGGCCGCTTCGTGGCTCCGTTAGAACTGCAGTCGCAGTCCTCAGCGGCCAATGTAGTGCAATTAAACCCCATCCATCAGCTGCTGGGCGTCGGCTGTGACGACGGCGTCGTGGAGATGTTCGATTCGAGAAGTCAGCAGCGTGTGGGGAGTCTGGACGTCGCTGCATATTTCGCAACCAACTCGAACAAGCAACTGGAAGTCACAGCGTTAAGATTCGACGACGACGGACTGACGTTTGGCGTCGGCACGTCCGAAGGACAATGTCTACTGTACGACCTGCGTTCGTCGCGTCCATTACTGGAGAAGAACCACCAGTACGGCCTCCCCATTGTGAATCTGCAGTTCCACGACTACGCACGTAAGGTGATCTCGTCAGATGCTAAGGTGATTAAGATCTGGGATCGTCGTGACGGAGCCGTGTTCACGAACGTGGAGACGCCTGCAGAGGTCAAGGATGTGTGTGTTGTAGAGGGTGCACAGGGCAAGTCCGGTGTGTTGTTGGTAGCTGGAGAACAGGAGCGTGTTATGAGCTATTACATCCCTGAGCTGGGCATCGCTCCGAAATGGTGCTCGTTCTTGGATTCACTAACGGAAGAGCTGGAAGAGGAGGCACAAGCCACAGTATACGACGACTATCGCTTCGTCACTCGTGCGGAGATCGCTACGTTCGGACTGGATCACTTGGTGGGCACTCCACTACTCAAGGCGTACATGCACGGTTTCTTCATGGATGCTCGACTGTACAACAAGGTCAAGGCTGCGGCCGATCCGTTCGCGTACGATGAGTGGCGCAAGAAGAAGCTCAAAGAGAAGGTCGAAGCCAAACAGTCCAACCGTATCACCATCCAACGTCGACTGCCCACGATCAATCGTGCTACAGCCGAGCGTATACTGCAGAACGATGCCAAGCGGAAAAAGAACAGCAAGGAAGGAGAAGAGGAGGACGAGACGGACAAAAGCTTCTCGAATCCTCTTGGCGACGATCGTTTCTCGCGTATGTTTACGTCCTCGGACTTCCAAGTGGATGAAGAGAGTGACACGTACCGTATGTTGCATCCGAATGCTGCTAACACCAAACAGCGCAAGCAGGAAGACATGGACAGTGACGCTGGTACAGACGATGCGGAGGAAGACGAGGTGGGTGGTCGCTTTGCCCGTGTGGACGACAGTGAAGAGGAAGAGATTGAAGGCCGAGCGAGCGACGAGTCCTCGGACGAAGAGGAAATTGAGGAACCGAAGCGCGCTGCGCCGAAGGGCAAGCGGAAGCCTGCACCCAAGTTCTACGAGATCGCAGAAGGCGAGAAGGTGGGCGACCTCATGGCTTTCGGCTCGTCAAGCGACCGTGCTGCTCAACGCGAGAAGAAGCAGTTGGCCAAGTTGCCGCTTGCTGAGCGGTTGAAAATGCAGCGTGTCACTGAGAAGGAACGCAGCGCCTTCAAGAAGGAAGAGACGGCAGGTGGAGGCTACATGCGTGAGATGTCCTTCGTGCCACAGGCTGATTTGCGCAAGCAACAGCGTGCACGCGAACGCGCAGCCGGCGACGCGGATGATGGCGACGCAGCATTTGGCAATGGGAAGCGACGGAAGAAACGCGGCGTGGGCGACCTGAAGCTGTCGAATCCTGGGCGAGGTCGTTTCCGTAGATAATCAGCATGCATTCCCAATAGAATTGATTGACAAACATTGTTTTTTATTGCACTGGAGAAGCTCTATACATTGCGTATGGTGAGTGTCTTACTGGAAACAATCGTGGAGTACATCGCAGAGCTTGGCGGTGACTGGGTACGCTACTTCTCTAAGAGAAGTTCTCTTATTACTGTGAAGTGTAGGTTAAGACTAATAACGTGTTGACGATACTAGGCGGCATCCTAAGTCTACTTTCGATTGCTGGTTGCTACAAAATGTTGATAGTCCAAAATCAAACACAATCGTATCTTTTTTGCAGTCTTTTAGTGCCGTAGATAGAAAGAGTTGAAGTACTTCGTGTACCCATTGACGACGTCAATGAGATCTTTTTTTGGCCTCATTCGTCAAAAGATCGTCAGCGTGCCAAGTTCCATTCGCAGCTATGATTTACTACGACGCAGCTCGGCTGTGGGGTGTGTTATTGCGTTGGCACGGGTCTGCACTGAACGGTCAAGCGCCGATCCGAGCGCTGCACATGGCGCTGGTTGCGCTGGTCGTCGCGCTGTTGGATCACTACTACGTGTTCATGGTGACGACTAGCAAGTCGATTGCGTTCACAGATTCGCTGACCGTGTTCAACACGTTCCTCGGTCTTGTCGTTTCTTTCCGATTGAACTCGGCTTTTAACCAATGGAGATCGGGTATGGTCGCAATGGGGGCGCTCTCAGAGGCGGCGAGGGACATCGTCGGCTCTGGGTGTGCGTATGTGAGCACCACGATCAAAGAGGAAGTGAATGAATACGCGAACGACGAGGCTAAAGCACAGAACAGCGATCAGATTGATGAAACCAAGCCGCGTCCCATTTCGCGGGATATTTTAGAGAAATGCACATTTTTCACCGAGTTGCGTCGTCTGGTGTTCCTGTACATCACCATCGTATTCCACGACTGTCGTGGCCGAGATGACGTAGACAAGCTGATGGACTTGGGTGTACTGACCAATGCTGAGTATGACGAACTGTTTGCCAGTGGCTCGGAACACAAGAAGGGAGAGGAGATCGAATCGTACTGCGATTTAGTGCGTCGAACACCTCACAAACTACGCGCTACCATCACCGAACTATGGCTTAAACGACTTGTACAGGTGGCAGCTCAGTGTGGCCATTTGACACCTGGAAACGCCAGTACGTTGCAAGGCAAGATTTCTCAATTGCCCAATCTGTACACGACGGTCTTCCACATCGCCAACGTGCCGATCCCGTTCAATTACATGCAATATCTTCAGTTCTTGCTTGCAGCGTACATGCTCCTCTACATGTTTGTGATCGTGCCAAACTCGGGACTATACACACCCATTTGGGTGTTTCTATGGGGAACATTCCTCTTTATGGCCGACGAAATTGCGATGGAGATCGAATGTCCCTTTGGTTTGGACGCTAACGACATTGATTTAGAGGAAAGATTGCTGCAGATCGAGGAAGAACTGACGGTTCTCGTCCGCAGCCAGTACTACTTTATTACCGGTGGGTCCAGTCTATGCTTTACCGGTGGATTGTGGTGCCAAGTGCCGAACGCAACGAAGGAATCCACGCCTGAAATGACGAAGTCGTTCTCGTTCCACCAAGGTCGCTTGTCTCCGTCGAATATTGCTACCGTGGAGAAACACATGCTGCCAGAGATCAACGAGTTCACTGCTTTGATCGAAGATTCTGCAAAACTCAAAAAATTCCAGAAGACTGCAAAAAACTCGTCTGGAAGTAGTGGGTACGGATCGATGGCTTCTGTGATATAGTGGATAGCAGTCTAGCACAGTGCACATCCAAAAACAAAGGTGATAAGCTCTTACAAGTATCGTGCCTGTTTCTTTTGCATTAACTGTTTCTTTTTTTGCATTAAGAGCCCTTAGTGCTAAGCCATAGTAGCGGCTGTTCCAGGTATCGTGTCCAGCTCGCTGTAGTGATCCCAGTGTGACATCTCCAACGAAGCAGGCGTTATGGTGTCGACCGTGCGCTCTGAGGCAGGTTGAGACTGTTTCCGAAATCGAGAAGACTTAGTAAGACGTTGTCCTAGCAGTCGACACTGACAATCTGGTTCGCTCCGTGGTCGTACGAAGCTGAAGGACGTTCGAGGGTGGCCCCCGTTGGATCCACGAGCCAGCATGGGAATTTGTGACTCATTTTGGCTAAATGAGCTGCTCGAGCTCTCCACGCTTGCATCGAAAGCGAAATAGTACCGCGCGGTAGCACTGTTCTCAAAGCTCTTGGAATGGTTGACGTGGTGCAGGACGCTAGAATCCATCAATGCATTGCCCATGCGAATCCCCTCAGCTGGACACCTTACAAACCGCTGGTCGATCATTCTGTCGACGATGAATGCTCCGGGGAAGGCGAGTGTGTGGTGAACACCAGGTAATCTTGAACTACAAGTAGATTCATTCATGACGTCAAAGAATTCGCTTAGCCCGCTCACTATATCGAGAACCAGTCGCGAGCATAATTCCTCTTGGATTTCTTCCAACGCAGCGACAATTTGTGTTGCCGAAGGACGTAAGCGAGGATCACCGTGCCATGAGCGCTCAATTATACCACGTAGTCGCGAAGGCGTATTAGTGCTTAGTCGGGGACGCGCACCATGTAGGACTTCTTCAATTACTTGCACATGATCTTCATTTGCTCGCGGGTACTTATCACCACCTGGATGTAAAATATCCCACATCGTAACAGCAAGTGAATAAACATCAGCCGCTTCTCCATGTACACTCAGCTCTCCTTGCTCAATGATCTCGGGTGCTGTGTATGCTGCCGAGTTCTTCTCCATGTGCATCCTCCACGGTGAGTCAGCAGTCGAGTCTGTTGTACCCATCGGCGAATCAACAACCAGTTTGTGCTCAAATTGTTTATTCTCCAGAATGGGTACTTTTGCTTTTGATGCAACTGTTCTTTTTTTTCGGTTCACACTCCTTGATTCGCCAAAATCCGATAATTGCACGTTGCATGCTGCATCCACAAGGAAACTTGTTGGCTGGATGTCGCAATGAACTAAAGGGGGCCAGAAGCTGTGAAGATAAGATACAGCACGAGCAGCATCTAGCATCATTCCGATATTAATCAGTAGTTGCTGTCGAGCAGGGTGAGCATTTTGCCGGCGAGCTTGATCCGCCAGCGTATCGGCCAAATTTCCCTGGCAGAGCTGGAAGACGAGGCAAATGGTTGGCGGTGCTACACACATTCCATGAAATTTAACGATGTTGGGGTGATTCAAAACACTGCACATGGCTGCTTCGTGCGAAAATGCTGCAACAACGTCGTCGGAGCAACTTGACGGTGCATATGCCTTGACAGCGACGTGGGTTTTCATCTTGAGCATACCTTGAAATACAGCTGACTTGGAGCCCACCCCAATCTGCCGAACGAGTTCCAGATATGCGAAATCGATCACACACTTTCGATTCATTTCAATGAGCACGTGTATACCGTTAGAGGAAATACGCTCGCTCAGACCATTTTCCCGCTGAAAATAATCCTGCAAAGCACACGCTCGTTGTCCGACTCCTCGCCAATACTCGGTGTCTGCTTTCAACACTCGCCACACGACCAAAGGACAAAATGCAACCCACGATAGTATCGCAAAGAGAACATAGTGGCTATTACGAGCAGTCTTTGGATTCGTGGCGAATATCACCACTAGAACCATGAGCGTGTAGAACACGAAGGTAGCGAAACACAGTTCTCGAATGATTCTCTTCGTAGCTCGGTTTGGAGGCTTGATAAATGCGTACAGAAATGGGAGCATTAACAAGCCTCGCACAAACTGAAGACCAATCGTAAACTCCTTTTGATGATTTGGAGGCCCGAAATTCGTCACCACCCAAACATACAAGGTGGTGTAGTAGGATAGAATCAACGACAGTCCCACTGCTCGCTTGACGGCTGGGAATGACAAGCTTTTCTCGAACATAAGCATCAGAACGGTCACAAACATGAACTGGTTGCCGGAACAGAACGATTCAAGTATGACCGGGGAGATGAACACGTCGAAGTAGTCTGTTGCAAACGCCACCACTAGAAAGACGATGTAGGCACCATTGATAATTGCCATCACGAACAGTACAGGTTCGTATGCCGGTAAAATCACTTTTCTCGCTGCTTCTACGTTTCCTTTAAATGCCCCTGCTCGATTCATCCTTATGTGCCAAATCAATCCCACACAAAGCAACCAAATCGTCATGAATCCTGCCAAGATAAACACCATCGTTACCCGCATGTGCTGTCCGGCATTCTTCAGGGACTCTCGGTCACCGATAATTGTCTCGTTCCCGACAGTGTGAGCGAGAAACCGCTCCACATATCGCAGAGTTGCAGCAGACCCCATGATCCCAAAAACTTGACCTGATGAGCGCTTAGTATTGAGTTGAGAAGTGACAAAACGAGGAGCCAGAATTCCTGGAAGGAACGAGCGTTTCACAATAGACCACCCGAGGCTTAGTGGGGGCACATCTTACCTGATACTATCAGGCTGATAGGCGCAGCCCCAACAGAAATAACGGCGTTCGATAGTTTAAAAATAAAACGACCCCGTGCGTTGCCCAACTATTTCTGACAAATATCTGCAGCAAAATAAATTACAGTGTCGTCAAATACCAGTGTACATAAAGAATAACACTTGAAACTCTTTCATGTAAAATTCACAAAACAAAGATCAGCACTCGCACTTGATGCGATCGTATCGAGCGCAATCGATCAGCCGTCGAGTTCAGCAATGATAATTTATCATAGATAAATCCTCCGAATGGTCGAGCCCAACGTACACGCTGGCGTTAGATTTAAATGTTCAATCGCGCATATGGCGTCGTCGACTTAACTTACAAGATTATAGGTAGAAAACGCAAACTTCACAGGAATAAATCAAGATATTAGGCGTTTTCATTTCTACGAACCTGTCGATCACCAGCTTGAAAACTTCTTGCTCTGATCAGAAGCCCTCTTGACTAAACTTAGCTTCAATTGAAGACAGCGCGTTCCATGCAGATGAGTATTTTTGCAAATGCTACCGGCAATCATTAAATACTTACATGGATATTGGGTTTTGTATTTATAAGTGCTGACCACAGCTGCGAAAATTTTTTTTGGTGAGTAGTAGATCATAAATTTTTTAAGAAAAGCTTTTTTTTACTTTTTTAAATAAAAAACAAAAAAATGTTTGAAATCGGTTTAATAGTGTACTATTTGTTAAAAAACGTATTAAGCTGGTGACTCAAGTCATTTATATGTTGCAGCGAGTGTTGGCTCGCGAGAATGTGGACGAGCGCAGGCGTGCGTTATTTCGCTCTGGCGGCATCACAACGCACCGTCAATTACTACAACGTCCTCTTTGGGATGTCGCTCATGCTGTGGACATGTCGGTTCGCGAGGTGGAGGTACCGCAATTAATAAATTCGACCTGTAGCAAATGCATCATTTTCACATTCGTGTTGTGCAGCAATTGATGACAAAAGTATCGCTTCGACTGGCCCCAGCAAGTCGATCGGTAATGATAAGCTCTCAATTTATTGAGCATTAAAGAGTGTGCAATTGGTTGCTGAAAAATGTGCCATACCGTCAGGCCTTCGATCTCTTTTTGGAAAGTGCCAATCATCCGACATTCCTGCGCACAGGACTGCCAAGCATTGATCAGGCTTTGAATGGAGGTCTGCACTGTCGAGCACTATCAGAGGTGAGTCAATTAATGCTCTAAGTGCGAATGCAGCTGACGAGATAACAGTTCGTGGGCACTGCAGGAATTGGCAAGAGTCAAGTGGCCATGACACTTGCGGTGGTGTGTGCAATGGATTATCCGAACAACGGAGTCGTGTTTTTCGACGTTGAGCACAATTTCAGTGCCAAACGGTTCGTTCATTCATGTATGGTGGCAATGAAGATCGATGATGCTGTTTTCCGGGTGTAGTTTGTTGCAGATCACCATTGCCCGCATCAAAGTGACCCAAGCTGGTCAAGAAGATATCAACGAGCTAGCTGCTGCTGTTATCAAACGTATTCGTGTCGTGAAGGTCAACTCCATCGCAGCTTTCCTTTCCAAGTACAGCGTCTATTCCAGGTATCTTGAGGAAGTAGACCATTCTAACGACTTTTGCAACAGATTCAAGGAGATGGAAGATGCCATGCATTCACTTAAAGCCAAGCTTCTTATTATCGACTGCGTGACGACGCTCTTCCTGAAGGTTGTTTCTTTCTCGTGTCTTGTGGATATCAGTCCACGCTATTAAAATCAATACCTTGTGATGCTAGGCCGACGACCTAACACATTCGCAGCGCCAGCATGAAATGTTGAGGATGGCAAGAGACTTGAAGTGAGCGCTGCAAGGCGTAAGCTCAATCTACTGCTTTCGGAAATCTTACGGCAAATGCTTGTCTTTTAGGTTATTCGCAGACACATACCAGGCGTTCGTTGTGGTCACCAATCGTGCAACTACAGTAGACGGCGAAGGTAGGGATTCATCGTTTGTCGTCATTTGTTGCATTGATATTTCTTAACACATCATGTTGAAGATGGACTGTACACGAAGCCTCAGCTTGGTGATAACTGGGCACACTGTGTCACCACTAGGGTCAGTTATTTACTCTTTTTGTCAACCCTCGACATCTCTTAAAGTAGTTTAATACGTCGTGTAGTTCATCATGGAGCGACATTCTCTCTATCACGCGATGACCATCGTCAAGTCTTCCGTTGCAGGATACGTCGTTCAACCATTCACAGTCAAGGTATGCAATCAGTTCACAATATCTACAACAGGATCAACTTCTAACTGTCGTAAGTGTAGGAAGGCGGCGTAGAACCTGTAGAGGAAGATGAGTCTTCTCGACGAGCATATTTTGACGAGTTCGACATCCATGACGACTTACTAAGCGACCTGGCAATGGCTACATTGCCTACAGTTAATCCAGCGTGCACACTACGCTCCACACAGCAGAGTAACGCTGACGATCCCGACGCAACTCAACTGATGACTCAAAGCGACAACGAAGCGTCTGAATCACAACAAGATCAAGTGCAAGAAACGGAATCTAGCAGCTTCGATATCGTTTCCGACTCCAACTCGGAAGACGAGCACGACTCGTTCCAATGGGGCGTGGTAGCTGAGGAATAGAGGGAAATACCAGTAAATAAAAGAGTATACACGAACCCTGATAGTTGATCAACGCCGTGTCGAAACATGGCGGGAAGCTTAGGAGGGTGTATTTAGTCCGACGCACGTCCAGCAACTAGCAACGCTTACGCCTTAAGAGCGTAGCGGCGCTTGGGGTAGTACGACTCCTTCCTCTGCTGCTTGGGGGTCTTGAGAGACTTCTCGTGCTTCGAAAGCTGACGACGGATAGCGCGCGTCTGCTTGCGGCGCAGGTCCAGGGGCACGTGCTTCTTGCTGCCCAGAGCGGCACGGAGCTTGGCCTTCTGGTTCTGGTTGTACACCGTCAGGACGCGAGCGATCGACTTGCGCACCACGCCGATCTTGCTCAGCTTGGAGGCAGCACCGCCAATGACCTTGGCCACGCGGAGCTGAGCCAGCTCCTGCTGGTAGTCGTCAAGCTGACGCAGCAGCTCAGTCTTGCTCTTGGTGCGAAGCTCGTGCGCCTTGATCTGGACTGCAGCCAATCAAAACAGCAACGTTAGCATCTATTTCTTCACTTAAATCGGTCGGAGACGGGCAGCAAGGCCTATAAAGCGGACAGGCAGGTGGCGGTGACTTTTAAGCGGTAGTGTCCTGTCCTGTAGCGTCTGGAGATCTGACTAGTTGCTTCCCTGTTCCTGCTTGTTGTCATTTTTGTACAACCACAGTCGACGTCTCTGCCGCCACCTGCCTGTGATTTTAGCGCCATCGCTGTTGTCCGTCTCCTAGTATTTCCAAGCGAAAGGACCATTTGTCTTACCCATTGTTTCCTAGTTGATGCGAGTAGCTTCGAACTTCCCTTTTGTTGCGTGGGCGAGGCAAATGGAGGCGGCTCGGCAGGCCACTGGTTGGCTGAAAGAATGATTGGTCGCTGCTGGTGTCTTATTTTGACTACCAGATCACAACTGTCAAGCGACATTCAGTCAACATTTAATCGTGTATCTAGGAAGTCAAATAGTACTAAGTACGAGTTGAAGTTGTAAATCATGGCACCTGTCGAGCTTCCTCTTCCTCGACGTCTCGCTGGTCCTTAGTCATAAGCAATTGCAGCGTCGCCTCCTTTAAGCTCATCAGTTGCAGTAGTTTATCCCGTGCGAGTTTGGCGTCTCCAGAGCTCTCAAAGCAATTGCTCACCACCTGTACTACATAGACCTGGAGATCCTCGTTCATACTAAGCAATTTCTTGGCGTGAGGCTCGAATCCGCCGTCCTCGTGCAAATCCATCCAACTGAATAGCTTGACTACTGGCCAGATAGCTTTAGTTGGAGATGCAGAGAGGAATTTCTGTGCCTTCTTGCCGCCAAACTGCCGGTTCGTAGCCACCTTGTCTTGCCAGAAGCGAGCGTCGTCGATAGCCTCCATCTCGCGCTTCAAAGATGCAACTAAAGTGTCCCCATCGTCTGCATACACGCTTTTTGATATAAACACAATGGCACTTCTCCGTAATTCCAGCTTAGACTTGCCCTTTGGTTGGAATGGATTCAACAAGGCAACAAGTTTGCTTCTAGCCAGCTCCACGCGCTTCTCCAACTTTTCTCGCTCCTCGAGCTCCATGCGTTCAATTAGTTCCATCGCTTTGGGTGGCGTTGACACCCGTCGATTCAGTACAACATTCCAATACTCCATTCTCTGCGCTCGCTTATCATAGTCGACAACCCATGCGTATTGTGTGATACGGTTGAACTCGATCGTTTGCAAATACAACAAGCGCGCCTTTCGGACAGCAGCTTCCAAGATTTGTGAGACTTTGACTCGGAAATCTCGCGTGACGTCCATAGCTATTTGTCCTGGCGATTCGTACGCTTGACGCAAGGCGCCGTCTTGGAAAGGCACAATGTCCTCATATCGAACAACTGCAGATCGGTTGGCTAAAGGGACGAAAACTAGCACACTACCCGTGAGAATCAAATTCTGCGTCGACACAATCGTTCCTACACAATTTTTCCATTCTCCCTTGAGGATTTTCACTGGTTCGTCGTAGTCACACCACGTTCTGACAGCTTCCAGCACTTGGGCCTTTTTATTCTTACTCCAGTGCTTCTTACCTGGCTTGGACGTATCCACTGGTGGGCGCTGCAGGAACAGAGTACGTTTGATGCTCTCAAAGCGTTCATGACGCGCTGCGATCTCTTGCTTTGTGTCCGACTTTAAAGCCGATGACACACCAAACACAGCTTTCATCTTGTATACAATGGACGCCCGAACTTTATCGTCCTTTTTCCGCTGTGCCCGAGCTACTTGTGTCTGTCGTACTAGCTTCATGTATGCCTTCCCGGATTGACGCACAACGAACGATCGAATCAGCGCTTGGATTTTAGCCGCAGCGAGGTTCTGTCGCTTGTATTCCTCTTCTTGCTGTCGTCTCTGTTCTTCGCGCCGTTTCTTCCGCTTTTCTCGGTCTTTTTCGACGTCGACACTCCTCTTTTGCTCTGCTATCTGTCGAAGAATGGAAAAGTAATTCAAGCGATGGCAGTGATGGTATTGTCGCTCTCCTTTAGCATGGTACGAGCTCATACAGCGCTTGCAGAAGACATCTAAACAGGTCTCGCAAGACCATTGAGCTACTCGGTCAGAACACTCAACGCACATAACCACCAAAGCTTGGAATTTGTGTTGCTTCTCCACTGTTTGATCTCCATCCAGCTTACTTTTTTCTTTAACGTCATGGCCAGATATTGGGTCTTTACGTTTGAGTAGCCGTTTGTGCACATGGGGGAAGCAAACATCGCAGAAAGGAACCTTGCCATTGCCACATTGCAGACACTCTCGCGTCGCCGTTTCCGACCCACAGTGACTGCACTTTTGAATCTTCCGCAGTTGATGTCTCTGAAAAGCTACTCGAGGTTTGTGGTCTCTGTCAAAGCAGACTTTGCACATGGCATCTTCACACTCGACACAGTAAACCTCCGCAGGGACTCTAGATGCATTTGGATTCGTGCTGTCTTCGTGTCGTTCACAGAGAGCGTGAAATTCCTCACCAGGAAAAGGTAACGGGACACCCTTGCTGCAAACGACTCCTTTCAAGAAAACTGGTCGCTTCGTCAGAGTTCTCCCGCTGATTATGTGCTGGAATTTTACGGCACGTCCAGTATGATCGATGAACTCAATAAACATACTAGCAAGCATCGCCTTTAGCTGCAATCGAAACTTATAGCAGCGATACGCCAGTTGAATTGTTGCAGCACATTTACTCCGATGTTTCTGGATTTGTTGCTCACGGAAGATGACCACGAACGCCTCGTGTCTTCTCTTAGTAGCGATGCAAATCGCGAACCTCCGCAGTATCCTCTCGGACCAAAGTAATCGCTTCGTGCAATGCGATTCCAGAAGTTTCCTGTATTTTCCATTTTGAATCGTCTATGGAAGTACAAAGCGGTTCATGAATCGAAGAAATCGCTCGAAGTCATCGCCAGTATCAACAGGCTCTGAACCTTTGGTCTCCTTGTTGATACTCGTGTCCGCAAATTTCTCTTTCAACAGCATCAAAATGGCTTTGTTAAATCTTGGAAACGATATCGTCTTTGCCTTAGGTTCTTTCATTTTCGCGAAAATGACGTCGGCATTCTGCATTGGGAAGTGAGTCTTGTGAATAAAACCATGCGGAAGAGCCTTGAGAAACCTTGCGAAGTGAGAGTTGTCCATTTCCACTAGGTTGCCTGAAGCAGTTCGAAAAACCTCCTGCCAAACGCCGTCGTATCCTTTTCGCTTCCACTGCCTTTTCGCCAGGTCCACAGTATACAGCACACGATCAACACGAAGTTCCTCCTGTGTACTGCCTTCCTTGTCGTCTGCGCTTTTTACTGACTTAAAGATGAAGCTCTGGAGTAGCAATTCATCCTTAACACGTCTGCGAGTCCTTTCCTCGAGGACTTTACCCACTGCACTCTCCTCCGCTAAGAGCTGACGACGTCGAACCACTGCTGACAGCATTACTCGTCCAACGTATCGCCGCGCTGCTCGCTGAATAATTGCAGCTTTGAGACCGCGGAAACGCTGATTCTCGATATTTCGTCGAGCCCTCCAACGTGCTTGGATTCGACTGAGCATCTTGAGAGCATACCTCGTTTTCAGGAGTTGACTTCGCGTTTTATATCCTCTCCACAGTTTTTGAATCCGCTTCGCGCTTCGGTCCTCCATCACTCGCCATGCATAAGCTCGTCCTCGGATCCCTCGAATCCGCTTTTGTATGCATATAGCTGCTAGTCTCCGTTTACGATTGCCTTCCCGTCTTGTTCTCTCCTTTTCCTTGGCTTTCTCGTACCGAAGACGCTTGCGTATCTGCTTTCCTCTCCATCTGGCCTGCACTTTCCTAGCAGCTTGGACTTCTCGCGAACTTGAAACATCAACTGGTTGGAATGGACTGGACTTGAGCAACGAGATTTGGCCCCATTTCTTCTGTAGTGGAGTTGGCACGAGAGCGTTTGCCTTTCTTTTGCGACGCTCTTCCTCGATTTCCTCTAATATCTCGGTACGTCGATCAATGGCTTGTTGCTTGCGTCTCCTGAGCTCAATTCTAGAAGTATACGATCTCCAGGCACACTGAACAACGACAACGGCTGCCTGAACGTCACGTCTGTGCTTGGCTACCCATCTGCGAGCTTGTTGGCCTCGATAATGTGCTTGAACCTTGAGTATCTTTCGTTTATCTCTTTCAAACGCAGCTCGTCGACGGCGTAGCACTAGGACTCGTCCTTCCAGCCACATGCGAACAGCACGCTGTATAGTTATCGCAGCTCCAAGCATTAGTGTACTCTTCGCTCTCGCAGCCGATTGAAGAGCTTGTTCTCGACGACACTTGTCGACATGAGCGATTTTACTAAGCAAAACTCGCCTTCGCTTGGCGATTATCCGTCGCGCATGCTTCTGAATGCAAATGGCTGCTTTTTCTCGGCGTTGTCGTCGCAATTCGCGACGTAGAGTTAGCCACTGAGTGCACAATTTCCTCCAAAAATGCTGAATACAAAGAGCAGCTTTCTCCCGAAGTGCCTCACGTGCACGTGCATGACGAAGCGCGTGATTTCGTATACAGCGAGTTATTGTACAGGCTGCTTGGTGCTGTTTACTGGTAAGTAGAGCGAGAAAGTTCTCTTGTCTGTGCTTGAGCTCCCTTCGTATTCTTCTTCGCTTTATAAGTTCACGTTCGGCACTTATTTGTCGCCACCAGCATTGAAGACGGATGCTCGACAGTGTCCACTCTTGTTCTCGCATTGCGAGGGAGTTTTCGTTCCAGCGATTCATTCCTAGAAACAGCAACTGGTTTGTCAATCGAACTCCAACGCGATGCAATAGTTCGGCAGCTCGCTGATGAGCTGGCGATGCAAATTTCCCCAGCCCAACCGCATAGATCACATCCAGCGGAATCCACTGCTTAATTTCAAGGATAGTTTCCTTGACTTGAGATGCTGCCGCCCCATATTGCGATTCCAGCTGAGTTTGTTCCTGAATTAATCTGTTGAAGCTGCGAGAGCGCCTCGCTATTTTGTTTTTGCCTGAAAATAACTCTTGATTCGACGTCTTCACTATACCACGTTTTGTTGTTTGACCATCCGTCTGCTTAAGTTCATCTGCCTCCTGTGTATTAACTGCCTCCTCCACTGGCTTTGCAGGTAGCATTGCTGCACGGGTATTGGTCTCATTCTGTGTAGTTAGCGGCTTAATTGCACCGTACGACCTTTTCGTTTTCCGTTTTGACGCCACCAGAGAGGTTGATTTAACCATGTATTGTAGGTCCATCGGTTCAGGTGAGAGGTAGGCTACTGCATTTTGCCGTCGAGCTTGTTGCAGCCGCTTCCTTTTCAGCTCACGATAGAAATCTTGGAAAAACTCGGGACGGTCCACTGAGCGCTGAAAACTCTCAATTTCACGCATCTCGGTCTCGCAAGGAGGAGGCAGCTGAGCAAGTCTACGTCTCGTTCGAGGCGACATCGTCGTCAACAATGGCAGCACTACATGAGAAGCTCTCTTCATTGCAGGATTTGCAACATCGATCGGGTTTTCAATCTCAAGAAAAGGATCGTCGTTCCCGTGCTCTTCGATTTGATCCTTTGAATCTACCAGAGCCTTGTCATCTGCCTCACCGTCGATATATCGGGCCTTATTTTCATCTGCTTCAGTACCTCTTAGCATTTCTCTCACCATATCTGGCTGGTTCAAATACTGGGTCACCGAAAGTGGAGGAAATGTTGCCTTCTCAAAGGAAGGCACACTGTCTTCCTCCCGAGACAACGGACATTGAGGGGCTATCCGTCTATTTTCCCTCTCCAAACTCTTTCTATCATTTGCGCTCTCGGTATGCTGAATGGCATTGCTCTTGCGATGCCGCAGCACTGTTGCCGACTTGTTCAGCACCTCTCGCCATTGCTTCGGGTTGTAGACCGCACAGCCGTCGATGGCCGCTGCTAGCCGCACAAATTCTCCAGTAGTGGTATTGTATGCATCGGAGTGTTCTCTCTTACTCAGTTGGCGGCGTATTGCGCCCTCGTCGCGCCGGTATGTCGCGACTGCTGGCTCCATGCTCACATTGAAAACTTCAACTTTAAAATAAGTTGCGTGAATTTATTTAGAGAAGCAACATAACTGAGCGCAACTTAAACATCAAAAGCAACTTAAGTGGGCCCATTTTGCAGCCTCTCGCCAACCAGCCTGACATGCTGTGCTCGCGCTTGCTCTCCGCTGTGACCAAGAGCGCATTGGTGCCTGCTTCGCTGCTCCCGTCCATTGCAGGTAGGCCGCATGCACGTATTCTAACAATAAATTTCTTCTCCGTTACACTCATTAACCCGACTCACCCATTCCTTCAATGTGTGTCAATCCTTTTGTGTCCTTTGCAGCTCGTCCGACTGTCGCCGTCACTGGTGTGCGCAGCGTGCCGTCGACCATCAGCTGGTTTGCAGCTGAGGAGACGCCCGTCGCCATGGAGCTGCTTAACCGCAATGCTCGTCGTCCGAAGAAGGTCAGAACAGAAAAAAAGTGATGAACTGTAAAGCTGTCCTGCTCATGCTGTGTGGTTTAACTGTGCAGGCCAACCACGGCAAGCGTCCGTGCTCGCACCACCGCCGCCGTCAGAAACGACTTGGTGCCAAGAAGGCATAGAGGATGCGTATCTACAGTGTCATCAACGCTGCACCTAGACAGATCCATCCCTTCGAAGCAGTCGATGATTGCGCGGGCTTGTTCCACGTCCTTCAACGTACTAGACTTGAAGCCACGTTGACACACATCTACATTAGTATGATTTTTTGCCCTATCCTATGCTACACTCGACATTTTGGTTCCCATCTAAGCTGGCCGGTCATGTCGGTCATGCCTGTGGCATGGGCTCGTCGCCTTGAGCTCGGCTCTGTTGTTCCTGTTGTCGCTCGTTCTGCATCTGGCGATACTGTTGCGTGACAGCAGCGCGACGACGGTCGTCCATGAGTTGCTGCTGTAACTGCAGCTTGCGCACATGCTCCCGCAGGTCGTGACAGCGCGGCACCTTGCACTCATATTGGCGACACTGCCGAGCGTGGAGCTGCAGTAGCGCCCACACACGCCGACAGATCGTGCAGCCGCCGTACGCTCGCTGCTTGCACTGCGCGCCGTGACGCATCAGCTCCTTCATCTTCTCGCAGTTGGACGAGCCACAGTTGCCGTCTGCACACGAACTCGAGTGCACTAGCAGCTGCATGTGCAGACGAACGTTCTTGGCGCGCTGTTCGCGAAGACGGCGCTGCTCTGCAGTCAGAGCTGCAGTGCCAGCTGCGCCTCCGGCTCCAGCAGGACCACCAGCACCAGTTCCAGCGGCTCCTCCGCCACTTGTCGGCACCATTTCCAGTGGATGTTCGTGCTTCTCCTTGGCGTAACAAGCGTCGCACACGTCAAAGTCCGGACACGTGTGGCAATGCCAGCGGTTGCCCGTCACGATGTCGCGCGTGCACGCGTTGCACTCGTACACGTAGGCGTTCGGGTTCGGGTTGCCCAAGTGGTACAACGCCATCATAGACGAGTGTTTCGCTCGCCGCAGCTCGTCGAACTGGTAGTGGTTGCCTTGACACAGGCTCAAAAATGCTTGACGGGTGTCGAAAAACTCGCTGTCGTTGGTCTCATCCGGGTCCGTGCAGCGTTCTGGTATTGCTACATTCTCCTTTGTCAATGCGTTCAGCCGCGTCTGGAGCCTGTTGTGGGCTGTAGATGAACCTGCAACCGATACAGCCTTGAGCTTCTGGTAGCATCCATCGCACAAGGCAGTTTGCACCACCTTCGGATTAAGACCGTGCTCTGTTTGCACACTGTGGTCGCGCCAAAGCACGCCTTGCACCACAGACGTGTTGCACACACGACAACATGGTACCAGCTTCACCACCAAGAAGTCGTCCTTCATGGGCTCGATCACTTCACCGAGTTTGTGCATTAAAGGGTCCGACAGCTTCCGGTCTGGAGTATCCAACGACTTCACTGTAAGCGTGCGGCTACTCGTCGTAGTACCATCATGTGCATCGTCGTCTTCGTCCTCATCTCCTGACGCCTCGCCACCAGACGCTGTCTTCCGGCGCTTTGGCTTCTTCGATTTCGACTTCTTGTTCGCCGCTTTCTTCGTATCCGAGTTCTTGCGCTTGTGCGACTTGGAGCCACGTTTATTGACAATCTTTTTCGGCTTCTCGGCGTCCAACTTCTCGATCAAGTCTTCGACCAGGCCGACCCAATAGTCGCCCTCGAAGTACGGCAGAGCACACGGCGTGTTATCATTGCGCCAATAGTCATCGTACATATTGGTGATCTGCCATACTACCCCCTCTTCCTCAGCCTTGACCAGCATATCCACATACCAAGCGCGTAGACGATCCGACTTGGGCGTCTTCTGTACCTCGGGATGGCAGTACAAGATATAGTCATCGCCCTTCAGAGGTGGACAAGCCCACAGATGCGCCGTGTGGAAGCCACGCTGCTTGACAAAGTCAAAGTACGCAATCAACAGTTCGTGATACACCTTGGTGCGCAGATGAGCCGGCTTGAAGTAGTTCACCGAGTCCAGATACGAGATGTATACGCGACGCGAGTTGCAATCCGCTTCTTGCTCGTCGAACTCGTGTACGTACATACCGAACAGCAACACCGACACACCATCAATCTCCTGGAACATACAAATGCACTTGGACTTGAACCGATGCTCGGACGTGTACTTGTGCGAGTCCTTGTACCGCTGGAACATTTTATCGCGCACCATCAGCTGCTTCTCAATGTTCGACACCAAACGCACAGTCAGACCTTCCGCCGTCTCCACATCTTTCACGTCGCGTTGCGTCCATTTGGCCTCATCCTCACGCTCTGCTTGCAATGACTTGGTTAGACGACGCTCCAGAAAATCTGACAGCTTCGTGCGCTGCAGATCCTTCGCACTGAAGGCGTGGCGCCCGATCTTGTACTTCTGAGGTTCACTCTTGCGGTGCTCCAGTAAGCACTCGGGGCATAGAAACTCGCTGCCGGGCGAGATCGTGATGGAGTGGACCGTCCCTTTCGATCCCGATGACGAAGAAGAACTCTTGACAACTGTCGTAGTGACAGTCGTAGACTTTGCATTCGACGACGAAGGCGACGGAGAAGCATCGCCGCTGTCAGTTGACTGACCTCCCTCGGTCTTGACCAACTGCGGCTTCTTCTCACTGTCAATCTTTCCATTGAAAAGCGCGCAGATCTGGTGAACCCAACGCTCGCATTTGTCACACTGCACCCATGGCTCTTCGTGCACTTCGTCGTTCTTTTTCCGCGCGAGCTCACTCTTCAGATACTGGCGTCCTTCGTTGTGCTTGATGGAATCAGGCAGATTAGCGTGGCATTGATGACAGCAGTGATATTTGTTATCCGCTGACGTGTAGTAGTAGCAGTTCCGTCGGATACGACTGTTACACTCGCCGTTGCAGTACAGCACAGCAGGCTCAAATACCATGCGCTCAATGCCGCAGAGTCGACAAGAGCTCTCCTTCTCACGAGCAGCCGTCTCGTCGACATCGATTTCGGCTACAACCTTGCGCATTTCACTGTTAAAGTCCGCTAGCATGTCCTTCGCGAGACTGTAGACATCCTGGTCTTCGCTGTTGTACTGCATTGCATTCTGGAACGTCGTTCGGACGTCATACGCGAACTCCTCCGTGTGCTTGTAAATCCCAAGTTCCAGTTTCTTTTTCACAGTCCCTAAGTCCATCGGCTTCCGGACAATCTTAAAGTAGTTCGGGATATTCAGCGCCACCGGGTCCACGGGCGTGTTGAACACCCAGCCAAACTTGTGCTCCATCATTCCTCTTAGAGTTCCTTCCAATTTCTTCTTCAGATTCGCAGGGGACACTGTGGCGTTGTAGAACGTTAACAAAGAGTCCACATGAGAAGCTAGATCCTCGTTACTGAGTTCGTTCAGCACAGACATTGGCACTTCAGAGGAAGCAGGCGGCGCTGGTGTTGCTGCCGCTGCAGCACTTGAGGTCGCATCACCTCTACTGGTCGCTATGATCGCCTTTGGCGTTCCTACAGCACCGGCTGGAAGCTGCAAGTTAGTACTAGCATCCATCCGACGATGCTCGGACATCATTGCGTTCAGCTTCGGATTGTTCATCGTCAGTGGGTTGATGGCTACTTCCTCCTTTACAGCCGACGGAGTGGCTTGAGTTGAAGCTGTTCCCACAGTGTCAGGTTTGACGTGAGGTTCTACTTTCACCGCGTCTCCAAACGACCCTGGAGTTGGTGGCATACTGCTCATTCCCCCACTGCCCATCCCCCCATTGTACAGCATTTGCCCTTGCATTTGACCGTACCCTTTCCCTTGGACATGATTCATCGGCAGCGTTGGTCGCATAGCTGCCATGGAGTGGTTGCCTGTGTGTTGCTGCGGCGCTGTCAACATGTTCAATGGCGCAGCTACCGAGACAGGAGTCGCACTTGTGTTTTGGAGGTCCATCGGCATTTCCAAAGGCTTTCCCGCCACTGCAAGACTGCTATCACTCTTGGGAGCTACATCATCCTCTTCACCCAACAAATCATCAGGCGATGGCTTCATCGGCGTCGCTGGAGCTGACGGTAGCTGCGGCTGTTGGAGAGAAGGTTGCTGTTGCATTTGGGGTGGCATCGGAATCGGCTGCATCGCACTCATGGCGTTATTCACACCGTTCTGCGTTGACATCGCCGACGCAGCGTTGCGCTCGTCAATCACATGCTTCACGATATTCCGCTGACTTCTACATTGCTTAAACTTGACGTCCAGTTGCTTGAGCATCACGCGTTTCTCCTGTACCTGCGTTTCGTACTGCGTCTTCTGCGTGGGGTCTTGTGTCGAGTTCGAGAGGTGTAGCAGCTGCCGACACTCGTTCATAATTCCGTTCATACGCGCTCGAATCTCTTCCACCCACTTCTCCAGCTTCACGCAATGCGCCGTCAACTGCTCCAGCGAACGTCCGTTTAGCTTCTGTTTAATAAGCTGGAATTGTCGTTGATCATCTGGTACCAGATTCATAGGTGCACCCGTATTCTCCGCCTTGACATTTCCCTGTTGGCCCATCATACCGTTCGAAGTCACAGCAGGCTGCGTGTTGGTTTGTGCTATCGGCATCGGTACAGAGCGGTTGCCTCCGTTCGGCATCGCCATCCCCATCGAGTTCATATTAACACCCATCGGAGTAGCGTGGTTTACCGTCTGTCCAACACTCTGCTGAGGTTGTTGGAAGTTCATCGCCGCAGCATTACCGTTGCTCTGAGGTTGCTGCAAATGCGCAGGCATAGCCAGAGGCATCTGCTGCTGCGGTTGTTGAGACTGCTGCATCTGCTGCTGCTGCATTTCCTGCTGTTTCTTCATTGCTAGCATACGCTGACGACGCTGACTCGCAGCGATAATCTGCTGTAACGCACGGTCTGCATCCAGCATCAGCGCTCCATTTTTCTCCTTGACTTCCACGGGGTAGCGAACAACTTGGCACACGAGACACTTAGCGTTCACGCACTGCTGGAAATGCGAGAGCACGTACTTGGACGAGATACAGTGGTTGTACGAGCACGCGTTAGTCTGTCGGCAGGCACCCATATGCGCCCAGAGTCGCTTCATCTCCCCACAACTCGGCGTCGTTGTGCATGTGCTCTCAGGCGACTTACACCACATGGCATGACGCAGCAGCAACAGGCGCTGTTGTTGACGCTGCAACACTTCCTTCGATCCAGCGGTCTTGACGTCATCACGGACCATGAGGCGCAGCTTGTTATGGTACTCCGTTGTCTGGTTCTTATCCAGCGCTGACGTCACTTGCTGAGCCTTTGCCTTAAACTGCCAAATGATCTGAGCCGACTTGTTGCGCGCAGCCGAGGCAGGAGAGCTGGCCGTTGGAGGACCCGATCCAGTTGCATTCCCGCTTGTATTGGCAGTAGAGCCCGGCGTCGTTTGAACCCCGTTCTGGGCTAGAGGCGAGATACCTGCGCCGCTCATCGACAACCGGTCCGACAAGGACGAATCAATCCCTGAAGGTGTCGACTGCATGAGAGCTTGAGCTTGCGCCGCATCTGCCTTGACTGGAGTGTTCAATTGAGACGGCGGGTCCTGTAGTTCCGGCGGCATTTGAATAGCTTGAGAAGCGAGGTTTTTTGCGTCCGAACTGACCCCGTTCGGCGTCGATGCAACTGCTTGCAAGCCAGGAAACGGGATGGGCGTTGCAGCAGGCGTGGACGTCGCTGGTCGGGTATTCGCTGGAGAAGCCTGAGTCGATGTGCCCGGCTGCCTCATTGCATTGGCCCCAACACTTCGCTGGTGAGTCTGCGCACTTCGCACAATGCTCCGCAATCGAGACTGGAGTGTGCTTGTGTTCGCATACTCTTCACGCGAAGCAGCGATACGGTAGCACTCATCTTCCAGACGATGAGCCATCTCCGGCAGCTTCTGCAGCCAATTTGCTGGAGCATTCGATCGCTGGTTCTGAAGCACGCGCATAATGTGGTTCAGCATCTCCTTGCGCAGCGCCTGGTCCGCTGAAGACTGCCACGTCGGTCGCGTTGCAGTTGTCGATGATCCATTGTTCTGAGTCGAAGCTTGAGGCTGCGATCGTGCTGCGTTTGCATTACCTGTAGCGTGTAGACCTGAATTACCCGCACTCATCTGCCTCTGGGCAGCCATTTGAGACGGGAGCTGACCTGTTCCGAGCATCTGCTGCTGTTTCTGCTGTGCTGCTTGTTGCTGCTGTTGGCTCTGCTGGTGAGCATTATTTTTCAGAGCCTGCTGCTGCTGCGCGAGTCGCTGACGCTCAAGAAGCGCTTTCTGCTGTTGCTGCTGACGCTGCAGGTTTAGCTGACGCTGCTGGTGCATCATCTGCATGTAGTGTTGTTGCTGCATTTGCTGCTGAGGCATGTAGTAGTTCCCCTGCTGGTTCATCATGTTCATGTGCTGCATATTGTTGAACATCATGTTGTTCGTGTCGTTCATACCGAAATTGTTGCCGCTCATGTCCATCCCCATGCTGTTCATGCCCATGTTCACGCCCATATTCATACCCATGTTCATCCCCATGTTCATGTCCAGTCCCATCCCGTTGCCATTGTTGTTCATGGCGCTACTGGTCGCGGTTGTGTTCATAAAGTTCATCACGTCCAGACCACTAGACGACGAGGACGACGTGCCGCTGTTCGTCAGCGACTCGGATGCTAGTGAAGCCGGAAATGGGATCGCGTCCGTCGTGGAGCTCATTGGCGCTGACGACGCGGACATCATTGACACTGATGTGTCCATCACCAAGCTGCTAGTACTCGGGCCACTGCTTGACGTCGTGGGCGAGTTGAGCTCGTCGGGAAAGTCGATGAGCCCAGCTGTGGATGTTGACGAGTTGCCACCAAGCATCATGGACGAGTCCGTCATGAGATTCATACCGCTACTGAAGTCCAGTCCGCCGGACAGGTCCATACCACTCATGTTGCTGCTGTTGACGTTGGTACCACCGCCCAAGTTAAACTGATTCATAAAGCGGTTGTCGCCGGCATCCATGTTCATGCCGAAGTCCCCCACGAATGCGTGTGAGGAGTCCATATTAAGCTGCAAGAGGTCGTGAACAAGCGTTAGTGCTGGTGTGTTAGGGCGTTATATGGTATCTACGCACAGGACTGTGCGGTGAAGAGGAGCGCTTACTGTAGATCTGCTTCTTACCTGTCGAACGAGGCCAGTAGACAAGCTCTTACACCACTCGAGGCTCTTCTAATCGCCGCAGCTGAAGCGATGTACGCGAGCGGGCACAGCGCTGGCTGTAGGGACGTTCTGAGAGAGCGGATGCCACAAGACGAGAGAGGAAAGAGCCGCGGTTCAGATAGACACGCGGGGACTCAGAGGAGGGAGCGCTCAGACGCGTACGGGCCGAGCGTGCCTGCCTTCCTCACTCTGTGCTGGAGCTTTTCTTTTTCTCACTGATGTAGCAGGCCACAAGAGGGCGGCGCGGTTTCAGATAGGGGGCATTTATTGTAGTTTACTTTGACCTGTGGCAGTAGTTTTGTAATTTACTACTGTTTAGCAATACAAAATATGAGTATTAGTTGTTTTTACAGGAGATTCGGTCAAATTGCACACAAATAGAAACCCAAACTAAAGCACGCCACAGAAACGGTGCACTTGAGTACCGTGTACAGTACTTGTTTGCTGTCAAAAGCAGAAATACTGGCCGATCGCATTTTAGGTTGCATTTTATAATGCGTACAGCTCCGCACCGCAAGTCCACAACGTATACATGTAGTGCTATTTAACATTAAGTGCCTCCTTGCCCTGTGCTATGTTGGGTGTAACGGTGTATCCACGTGATCGCGGTGCTGCAGCGATCACCGGATGGACCATGTTTACTGCTGGAGCATTGAGCACCATCAACAAAGTCAACGCGGGCGGGATGACGAGGCGCGGTTTCTTCATGGTACATGTATCTTCGACGATTATACAACAATCTTGCTGACCTGTCCGGTACATGTAGCTGATGGAGGCAGTCAGCAGCATCCATACTTGTATAACGATAAAGTTGTATTGTAATTTATACCACCTCCGAGTTGAAGGCGGCAACGATGCCGGTGGATTAATAATATCAGACGCAACGGCCATCGCTTTGAGCTCAGAATGATGACGTCAATGTGGACACCCCCTTATTGATAATTCATTTAGTAGTGACTCGCCATAGGCGAGTCGCTTTCCTGTTTATCGTGTGGTAAAATGAGGAGTGTGTTGCGGGATACGAAACGACTGGTACTGCGGCAAAACGTTACTAATTAATGATATTGGGCGTTGCAGTCTTCAAGCGTAGGCCCAACAGCTTGATGTGACAGCGTCCCTAAAACGGCATGACAAGGAACCCCTTGGCGGGATCGCTGATACATGTAGTCTACGTGTAGTCAGTCCAGAGGTTTTACATGATGTAGAGCCCCTGGACTGACTAGTTGCACTTTGTCACACTCGCGTGGATTAGGGGTACTTTCTTTGTCTCTACATGTAATTTTGCGAGCGATCTTTTTGCTCGCATGGATAAACGAATCATTACTATAATAGCGAGAGCACCACGCAAAGTTTGCTGAAGCCTGAAAAATCCTAATTAATGACAACTTTGAAACCCCCTAATTAAAGTGCAAAACGGGATACGACTCGCAACATCCATCGCTATTAGTAATAACGATGAATTGGATCGTCCAGTCGCATCATCGTTGACAACCACAGTTCTGCATTCACTGCTGCAACTGTGAGTCTCACAGTGAGGAGCCGTTGTTCTTCACATTGCACGCAGGCAATATGCATGATCACACGGCTGTCAAGCCATGAAGAGCCTTCGTTGGTCGAGCCTATCCCCGCTCCAGGAAGCGGTTGTACTTTGCTGCTAGGGTATTTATAGGTCCCGACGAGATGAAGATAATTAAACTTAAATAACTACCACTGATTTCCTAAAGTGAGCACCAATGGATACATTCCGCTTCTTAAGGGCCTGCCTGGCAAGGCGCGAAAAAAACTTGATCATCAACGAGTTGGGTCTGTGTGTGATTACAGTATCCGATGTTGATTTCAGTGCGGTCAACCATCCCGACCTAATCTGCAAATAGCGGCCAGCAGCATTTAAATATTACATAAATAGCAGCTTGAATCACCCAATTTAAATTCACACAATAGGCTATTGTTTGTTTTGGGCTACTGGTTTGGGCTATTCAAAAGCCCAAATCAAACCGGTACAGTACAGTATCACGTTGAACTAGCCAGTTCTTCTGAAACCTCTTAAGTATAAAAGAGTCTGTAGTAAGCATGAACCAGTACCGTATTAATAGGTAGCTTTATTTACATGTTCATTTTGTCAAAGCCTGCTGTATCATGGAGCTTCTAATGATGACATGGTAACTCAGGTAAGCTGCGCCGAGCGTGCACCCGAGTTGGTCGATGTAGCGCCCTTGGCGCTCTTGAGCCAGCAAGTACCGCCGTTGTAATTCGTCCACGTGAACGCCTTACAGCCGCCTGTGGTCTGGCAAATAGCGCAACAGCCTTCAGCGCTGCTCTTGGCATTGCCCACGTCGTTGCCAGCATAGTCGACGTTCTCCTCAATCTTGCCGCATGTGGCACCCTGAGCTGCTTTCTGGATTGCCCATGCACTACCGGCTCCACCAGTGGAAATGTAGCTGGCAGCCTGACCGGCAGCCTCACGGCCGGTGTACATGATGAAGCCGTACGGGTTCACGGTGCCGTCGCGCATAGCACTGGCATCCGCAACAAAAATGTTGCTCGTGCCCAGCACACGCAACTTGTTGTCAGCACAGCGCTTCGATCCCGCAGACGCGTCGCTTGAGGCGTAGCAGCTTCCACCAAAATGCTGCGCCGCCATTCCGCGGTTAGCCGATACCCAATTGGCCACACCGTTCGGGTCCGAAGCGCCCGAAAGGAACGCGGCGCCTTGTGCCTTCATGGCACTCACAACGTGCTGGGCGTACTGCTGCATCGCGACTAGGTCGCGGTTTGTAGCAAAGTACGCGCCGCCTTCTTTGAAAGGCTGCCATGCGCCATTGTTGTCAAAGCCGGACGCCGCGCGGGACTCCGGGTTGTTAATGTACAACGGTATCGACAGCGCATTGTCTAACTTGGCGAACTCACCAAAACCATGAGGAAGAACCGTGGTCTGGAACTCGTACTGGCGGCCCTGCACCTCGAAGTTCTCATAGCCGATAAGAACTGGGCCAGAACTGCTCCAGGGACCCGATCCGTTCTTGTTGATGTATAGGTCGAGAGCCCACGACGGGTAGTCACGGTAGCGGAAGCTCTTCATCTCAGGGTGCGAGAACGAAGCGATGACCATGCTCGTGTCGAACAGGTTGCGACCAACGTAGGGGTTGATGATAAAGTCGCCCTGCGAAAGACCCGGGAACTTGGCGTTGCCCTTTAGCATGTTGAGCTGGTCAGCAGGACCGATGCCACTCTGGATAAGTACCATAGGTGTACTCAACGCACCGGCAGCCATGATAATCGTACCTCGCGACGAGAGTTGAGCCTTGGTACCACCATACATCACACCCGTTGCCTTACCAGCCGAGTGCAGCACATAGTCGACCTTGGTGTTCGTAAGGAGCTTTACGTTTGTGCGCGTCTTCATCTTGCCCCAGAACGCGTTAGCAGGGGAGTCACGACGACCATTCTTGAAAGTGAAAGGAGCGTGACCGAAAGTCTTGCTCTTGTTATTGCGAGCCGCGGCGTCATTGAGAGTCCTCTCCGAGTAGCCTTGACCTAGGAATGCCTTTGCGACGACCTTGTAGCCCTCCTGCGTGTACCACACGCCGTCCGTCGAAGGTTTGTCCGTGACTCCATGGGTCTTTTCGTTCTCGTCCATCTTGGCGATCATGGAGGCCGCCGAAAAAGGCCATTGCATGTTCGTCACGTAGTCGTTCGGAGGACGGAAGTACAGCGCAGCATTGATAGACGAGCAACCGCCGACGAGCTTGCCAAGCCACATGGAACCGGAAAGCCAATCCACGCGAAATTGCGAGAACTGCGAGTTCCAAGCTATGCTTTCGTACTCTCCAGGAATGTCAAAGGTGGTGAGACCCTGGGCTTTAGCATAGTCTGGGACAGTTGATCCCCCGGTAGCCGCGAGAGACTTGGGCCCGGCTTCGATGATCAGCACGGAGACACTTGGGTCGCGCGACAAATACTCAGCTGCAACAAGACCACCAGGTCCACTGCCCACGACGATGACGTCGTACGTCGACTGAGCATCGACGACGAAGCTGGAAGACGCAAATGCAACCAAAGCGCAAGCCCATAGGTACGCTTTTCCGGCAAACATCTTCAGGAGACAACAGTCAGTGATACGCGAGGCCTTGTTTGCCGGTGGCAAAATTGAGTTGTGGCCTCGCAAAGAATTCTAGCCGTGGCTATTATAACGATTCTCTGCTGGCAGGGAGTTTATGGCGCAACAAGTGTTATTTGCCTCCCCTCGGCACAGCTCGCAGATTTCCGATCATGATTTGTCGGTCGTTCCAGCATAATAAAACTTGCATTGACATGTGACGAGATACAGTAGTTGCAAATTGCAACTATAAACCCCATCCAGGGATTTCGGACCCAGGGTCGTGCCCTGGGTCCGAAAATGTTCGGTGCGAACCGAACATTTTTTTTTTGTTCGGAACATGAGTGTTTTAAAAAACACGTATAGTATTAAAAAAACTGAACGTGGATTAGATAACTCAACTTTATATTAATACATGTAGTTTAATTTAGGTCTAGTGAGTTTTGTGCTGAGCTTATGCGATAAAAATTGTACTTATAAGCGTTTTTTTAGGACATCTTAGGACTCGTTCAGGACGAATTAAAAAAGAAATAGTTGCACAATTTAACCCCATCCCTAAACCGCCTGTCGCAATTATTAAGACTCTCTAAAACCTCTCGTTCTTTATATTGAAAGGGCGCTTCAAAATGTAAAATATACTTACCAATACATGTTCATGCCTTGTCACTTTAGCACAAGTGCCCCCCACTCCCATTCTGTTTCCCAGCGCCAATTGCTCCACTCCCATAGACGTCGACAAGGTGGCAATTCAGCTACGTAGACTGCGAAGAGCTGTTGAAGTTGGGTAAGAGGTCTAGGAGCCGTCAACATAGCAATTCGAGCTTGGACATTGGCGCTGGACCAAGGTACAGGCGCGTTCCAGTACTCATCGATAAGCTGGTCAAAGAGTTGGCGCTCCTCGTCCAAAGTGGGATGGTGCCGCATACGCGAATCTTGCATCAGTTGGCGTGCGCGAAGCAGCTCATGGCCTGCGCTCTCTTCAAGATCTGTTGCAGTTTCTAGCAGTGCGTAGAGCTGCTTGGCACGAGCTGTCCAGTCGTCGAGGAGAAGCTCCAAAAAGGCATCGCCGTCAATTTTTCGGTGGGTATTCAGCAGTGTATTTCGTGACGCTGTGGCTAGCGTGAGAGCACGCTCCTGGAGCTCTTCACAAACACCGATAGGCCACGAACAGTCCACACTCAGCTCTGTGCACGGAGCTATCCAAAAGCGGAAATTCCAGTAGAAATTATCACTGAAGAGATCAGTGATAACCTGCTGAGCCACGTTCTGTGCAATTCCAACGTTATGGAAGACAACATCAGCCAGTGGGATTGAAGCAGAGACTTCCTCGATTCGAGCGGTGTTTGCACCAGAAGCACTGATACTGGCGGCAACCTTACTTCGGTAGATATTCTCCAAGATATGGAGGAAAACTTTGATCTTTTCGGGTGGGTTAAACTTGTCGTCGATGCCGCAAAGCGAAGCAAACACTCGAACGCGAGCGTGATTTGAAGCGGTGTGAAGGGTGGTGGATATCGTGCTGTGCAATTGATCCAACGCGAGACGGCGATTTGACGATCTTTGCGACAGAAAGCGCACTACAAACTCTGGAAAGCTCTCCTGGAAACTTGAAGAGCCCCCCGTTGCGTCAAGCGAAGAGTCAACAAAAGCAGTACCGTCTACCTCACTTAGGACACGCTGCTCGTACATGTCAACGATCATCGACATGAGCAAGCTCGCGTGCATTCGTCGTTCGGGCTTCTTGGATGTAATCTTACTACCTAAAGCTGCTCCGGGGCCTCCCTTCCCACCAAAGCTCTGCTGCGGTTTGTATTGCAAGAGCGGGTTCGTGACCTGCCGCCGCCATATCCGCACACGCTTGCAGCATTGATTCAGTCTCTCGAGCCGCACAATATCCTCTTCAAGCGCAGAAGTCACCACCGCTGTTTTTAATGGTTTGAAGTGACTTTTGGCTGGAGTTCCAAAGCGAGTCGTTGGTATAGCAGAAGAAACGATATCAGAGTCGGGAATTGTGCGAAAGAGCTCCTGCTCGCTGCGGAAATGGTCTCGGAATGTCTGTGACGTTTGGACGAGCGAGTTCTTAAGACGAACGTGGCTCACTTCTGCCTGTGCACGAGTCAAGGAGTCTAGAGTCATGAGTCGGCGTAGGCGAAGAAAAGGAATGCACTGAAATGTTTTGCAATCCAAGAGCTATTTTTGCATGCTAAAAAGCAATTTTTAAAGTCGCTTTAGTTCTTCAGACCAGCTTCTCGTAACTGAGTGACTGTGCGGTAGTGATACGTGTAGGAGTAACCATTTTCCACGCTGAAAACCAGATACGACGTTTCCTCATTTGCTTCCTTGTCGGCAAGACGAGCCTTCACCATGGTTCCATCTTGCAGCCAGCGACCAACCCATGGATCCTCATTTATGTCGTACTCAATATGTCGTCCGTCCTCCAGGACGCCATTCACAAGAACGTGTCCGGAGGGACCCACCACCACTTCCGAAGCAGCGCAGCCCCGGTTATCTGGTGCACGAGCGTCGCTGTAGCTCGTATCACACATGACAACATCTTCGAATACTATGCCATCGCTGCTGCGGTCTGCTGCACAGGTATCCTGTTGCTGGGGCTGCTTCACGACTGTCGGACAATTGCCGTGAGGCGTGTGGCCAATAATCACACGTCGAATGCCACTTTCAGAAAGCAGCGACGCAATCTCTTCTGGCACTGGCGTCGGCATCCCTGAGGGCAATAGATGGCGCCCCATGACCACACTACCGGTGTAATCTGGTAGAACGTATTTGAGCAGTTCAGTACCGCCACGTGAGGAGTGATCTTCACTCCACGTTGGGTGGTCGATCCATTCCTGAACTTGACTTCGGTACCAGGTATTGAGCTTATCCACCCACTCCAGAACCGAGTCATAGCGCTTCGACGGTTCGTCAGGTACTCGACCAAGAGCAGACAAGCTGGCGTCCTTGTCCCCGTCAATGATACCACCGTGCACAAACAGAGTTTGGTGAGCCACGAACGCTAGACTACCGTGCAGTAAATACTCGCGCAACACGCCGCCTTCCTCGACACTATCAAGATAAGACTTGGCAATGTCGTCATCCGTCACCTCCTTCCTGTCACCAACTTCTTGACGCAGCTTCAACTCGGCTCGACGTCTCTCAAAATCACCTTGAGCTCCCATCGTGTGTTCCAGCATCCATATCAGCCGATTCACTTTGGTATTAACCATAGAAGCTCCATCTTTGTCTTTCTGTTGATCTGCCAAGAACTTTTTCAATGTCATGCGTTTGTCCTGAGGCACCCACGTTGGGCCTTCCAGAATTTCTGCATTACAGTAAAGCGCTCATATCAAACGCTCTAGTTATCGAGTATATCTTCGGCAGAGCACCAACCTTTGGCCATAGAGCTTAGGTCCATCTCGGTATCATTGAGCTCCGAGGTTAACCGCATCTTGTTCACGTCGCGGTTTCCCACAAGTAGCACGACGCGATCCGGGTGTTTCTTCTTGAGGTGCACGAGCTGCTCGTAGCATCTGCAGTAGGATAAATATTAGTGATTAATTTAACGCAACAGTAAAGTTCGCATTGTTTCTTGTTCACTTGAGAGTGTGGTCTCCTTTATCTCCCGCATCTCCCCCGAACACGAGCATGCAGTCGTCACGCAACTTCAGTGTCTCCTCTTGGCCGTCGGTAGTCAGCTGCAGACATGATGACTGGCGCACCACGTTGCGCACGTACTGCCAGTTGCCCTCCACATCTGTAAGCAACGCCACGCGCCTTGAAGAAGACGTACTGAGAGAGGTTGAAGGCATCCACATCGAAATCAGCAAAAATTTAGACACGTTTCGCTTCAAACAGAACATTTGCTGAATCCTGGCACAACGGGTTTTATGCTTGGGTTTTATTGTGCTTGGCAGATGGAATGTCCATCCGTTTTTATCGGCATGGTCGGAGCATAAAACCACGCGTAAAAATGAGATGGGAAGAGGCAGGCTATCGATGTGGATTTGTAGGATTTGACAATCGCAGGACAGCACATCAAAAACACAATGCACCTGTGAATTTCACAATATCATGTGAGGCACACAACTAAACCATGATTTGCGCATCAGTGCCGTGATGCGTGTACATCCAATCAATAGCAGCACACAGGAACAAAGTATAGTCACTCACAGAGCTTAGAAATGCACAATAGCCAATCGCAAGCTAGCGGGACGCAGATTTGTCCAATCAAAAAATTCTATTTCGGCTTGTTCACTCTATCAAACAGCTTAAAAGTCGATCCACTCGTCATTCTTCAAAGTTCCTCCCCGCCAGTACGAATCTATTTCACTACCTTCTCCCCAAGATGCCTGAAGCAATTGTCTGGCGCCCCATGTGCACCGAGCTTAAAGAAAGTGACGCACTCATTATTATCCAGTGTCTGAAGGTCTTCAAGATCGCCAAAAGTCAAGCAATCTTTTGCACGTTATGTGCCGTTCCAACACCGCACTTGATGCGCTACAAGATTCTTAAGTGCCGCTGCACTCAGTGCAAACAAGCCGCCCCCTATGCCACGTGTCCGTGGAGGGCAAAAATGCTAGTCTGTCTCGGCCGCAAGGTCGTGTCACTATTTGAGAGTGGCGAGCATGTGACTAGAGCGATACCGCCACACAGTCGCACCCTCACTACAGCTCAAAAGGATTTTTCTAAGCAAATGACTCGGGCTGGTATGAAGCCGGCTCGTATACGCACGGCGATGCTATTGCAGTTCGGTTTACGACCAAGCGAGCTTCCAGCTCTACAAAAGGTCCAGAATGTCGTGTGCTACTATCGCCGTACCAAGCTCGGGGGTAGTGACACAACTGCAACTATCGTGGCGTGCAGCGGGGCTGCCGTAGCTTTAGCGTCAGAGGAAGACGTTCGACTCAAAGAGTCACTAATACTAAGTTCCTTATCCAAAGGACACTTACAGCCCAAGACCAGGGCTCAAAGTTAACACCTTAGCTTTTATGCTTCAAAACCAGAAGTGTTTTATTTACTATTATTGCGGCCAAGCCGCCTAGGGGTAAATGTATCTCTTTAACTATCTAGCATAGTTAAACCTAATCAAATGCATAACGTGTGGCTTTCAGCCAACGTACTGAGATACCTTGTTAACTCTCCAACTTATGTACTGAGAGTTTGTTAACTCTCCGGGTACTTCGTACCCCTGTGTGCTCCACACCATGTAACCCCGTTACACTCTCCCCCACTAAGATGAGAACATTCCGTTCTCGAAACTCTCCTCAGCGAGGTCACGTCTTGTTAAGACGGCGGAGGTTACTACACCTCACACCAGCGTTGTACAGCTCCGTGAGCTCACAAACGCCTACGCATCGTTGATGCCCAACTTCTCGTCGTCGGCCCACGGCCCAATGCTCCAAGCGCAGCGCGCATCTTGCTCTCAAGCGGTCTCAGACCTACGCTCGCGCTCCGCGCCTACTCCAAGAGCTGCAAACCGCTTAGAGCAATGCTCTTGACTCATTCGAGTCGTCGACAACAGCTCAGCGGTTGAACACTCGCTTCACAAGCGATAGGTCCGTGGTTCAAACCCACTAGGGCACAGCCCTCTCGTTCCATGAACGATTGTTCACGCTTGGACAAGCTTAAGGGCAACACCCTTTTAGCTCAATGGCTGAGCGCTGGCTTTGAGAGCCACAGGTCGGTGGTTCGAGCCCACCAGGGCACAGCCCTGTCGTTCCATGAACGATTGTTCACGCTTGGACAAGCTTAAGAGCAATCCGCTTTTAGCTCAGTGGTCGAGCGTTGGCTTTGGAAGCCACAGGTCGGTGGTTCGAACCCGCCAGGGCACAGCCCTCTCGTTCCATGAACTATTGTCCTTGAATGCACAAGCTTAAGGGCAATGCCCTTTCAGCTCAGTGGTCGAGCGCTGGCTTTGAAAGCCACAGGTCGGTGGTTCAAATCCACCCGGGCGCAGCCCTCTCATACCATGAGTAGTCCGTTCTCGGACTGACGTACGGGCATCGCCCTTGTAGCTCAATGGTAGAGCTCCGGCCTGTCAAGCCAAAGGCCAGTGGTTCGATCCCCATGCGGGACACCACTTTCGCTGTTACAGCGCATCCACATTTGGATCATGCTCATCGAGCAAGTTGTTTCAAAACAACTATGCGTCTATCGAGACGCTTGTGCCTGAACCTTGTTCAGCACAACACGAAGCACCTGCTTCCTTCGGGACCATGTCCCTAACACTACGAGGTCTCTCCACCTCCTGCTCCCGCTGCGAGCACCGCTCATACATGTACGTACGAGCTGGCTGCTGCAGCCACTGGTCAGAGCCTGAGCTCAACTACTGACCTCATCGCTCCCCACTCTAGTGGGAGGCGCCCAGCGCCTGGCGACGCTGTCGCACGCCATGGTGGCGCTTCGGCACATGATGTGCCCGGTCGTAAGCGTCAACGACGTCAGGGCAATCTTGCCGGAGGATAACCTCAAACTCCCATGAGTTCTGTGAGTGAGGGTAACCCCTCCACTTCACTAAGTACTGGGTACGACCCTGGCGTCTACGCCACGCCACAAGGCGTTCCACGTGAAAGTGGAGCTCACCATGCTCATCGAGCAGAGCAGGAGGAGGCCTTGCCTCAGCTGGGCTCTCGCGGGGAGAGTCAGCACTTGCCGGAACGGCGTCTGCGTCCATACGACGCCGGCGTCCACGACGCGAACGTTCACCGCCCATCGGTCGATCTCGAAGAGATGATCCACCTTGTGGATAGGTTAGAGCCACCACTGTTGACTCACAACCAGGTCTCGGACCTTGAGCGTCCAGCTGCTCGGCTGAATGTTCAGCTTGCCTTGCTCCTGCATCTCGAGCACTTCGCTCCGCGACCTGTGGCTCTGCCACATGCTGTTGATCAGCCATCTGTGGATCCACCACTTGCTGTCGTTCAGCCTCCCGTGGCTCTACCACCTGCTGCCCTGCAGCTGTCCGTGGCCCAGCCACCGTTGGTGCCAACGCCTCCGCGCTCACCTGAGCAGGGTCTTGGTATGGCTTAAGCAAGCCGACATAGAAGACCGGATGCGTGCGCATCTTCTTCGGAAGGTTGAGCGTATACGCTAGGCCCTTCCTGGCCACGACCTTGAACGGTCCTATGAACCGAGGTCTTAACTTCGTCTTGAAGACTGCAGACACTGCATGAGTAGGTAGGTTTTTAGCGTTTAATAAAACTTGGTCACCGACCTCAAACCTCTCAACATTGCTTCTGCCCTTGGCATCTGCATGTTCCTTTTGCGTGTCTTGGCTTTCAGCCATAGCGTCGCGTACTTGACGCATTACGCTCAGTCTCAAAGAGACAAAGTCATCGACTTGCTTGCGAACCGCAACAGGGCTGACATCAGCTAGCCGCTCGGCTATCCCTCCCCCACCAAGCCCTGAGCCACTGCGTGGCGGCGTCAGTGGGACGCGAGGGTTAACCAAGCCGTTCACATAGAACGGAGTGTAGCCTGTCGAGGCGTGCACTGCATTATTTAATGCGAACTCAACGAGTGGGAGCATCTGGCTCCAGCGTTTTGGCGCCTCAGCGCATACGCTTCGGAGGGTATCCTCCACAACGCGATTCACGCGTTCGGTTTGACCATCGGTCTGCGGATGGTCCGCCGTGGACATGTCCAAACGAGTGCCGAGCACTCTGAAGAGGGACGTCCAGAACTTCGCGGTGAAGCGCGGATCTCGATCCGAGACAATTGCCTCAGGCAAGCCATGTTGGCGAAAGACTCGGTCTAAAAACAGCAAAGCTGTACCTTCACCATCAATGGTGTCCGGCACTGCCGCTAAATGAGCCATCTTGCTCAATCGGTCTACAAAGACCACTATACCTGTGTTTCCCGCCTTATCCTTGGGAAGGCCAAACACAAAGTCCATACTCATGGACTGCCAGCATCCCTTGGGGACAGGCAAACTCGCCAATGGCGCTGCCGTGCTCGGCGCGGACTTTGTCCGTTGACACGTCTCACACGTGCGTACATAGGTGCCGACCCACTTATACATCTTGGGCCACCAGTACATCGAGCTCACCGAGCCATAGGTCTTCTCCCGACCTAAGTGCCCGCCCACGGGCGTATCATGAACCTCATAGAGGATTCGATACTTTAGATCCTCATCATGAGGAACGACTACACGAGGGTTATCCTCAGCGTCGGTGCTGTAGTACAGCAGGCCGCCATCGAGTGAGTATCGATGCAGCCTCGCGCGTAAGCGCCCAGACAATTCCTTGTCAGAGTCTTTAAACTCTCCGCTCCCAAGAGCCCGTAGCAGCGCTACGCACATGTCGTCTTGTGCATACGCTCCGCGTATCAAGTCAGGCACTGACGACGTCACTGTCGTGACATGAGCTAACTCGTAGTCCGGCCTGCGCGAGAGCGCATCGGCCACTACATTAAGCCGCCCCGGCTTGTACTTCACCTCGAAGTTATACTCGGCAAAGAAGGAAAGCCATCTTGCCATTCTCTGAGAGAGATGAGGCGACTGTGTCGCAGTGCGTAACGACGCATGATCAGTAAAGATCACAAAAGGCTTAGAGCCTAGCAGGTGTACCCTGAATTTGACTAGAGCATACTTCATTGCAAGTAGCTCTTTGTCATGAACTGGATAGTTCTTCTCTGCAGCTTTGAGCTGGCGAGACTCAAACGCGATCACGCGTTCACGCCCTTCGGCGTCTGCTTGTAGTAAAGCACAACCGATTGCAAAATCGGAGGCGTCACAGACGACGCTAAACGGACTATCCGGGTCCGGCAGCGCAAGGATCGGAGCCTGGAGAAGGCTCTCCTTCACAGCCTCAAAGGCTCCGTCGTGCTCGACGTTCCAGCACCATGG